AAAATGGAAATTTAATCCTTTGCATCATCATTTGTGGTGCGTTCGTCTGTTCAATCGTTTTTTTTTCTATCTCGGACAGTTTATCGCAGCTTACGTGATTGAATCGTAAAAAAGAAACAAAAGATATATCGCAGCTTATGTGATTGAATCGTGAAAATTGAAGAATAAACCGAATTTCCGGAAAACTCACAAAATTCAAATGGGCACCCGAAATTGAGACGTTAACGATTTCATAGCATGGCGGATAGTGTTTCAGGTCGCGACCTGGAAGGTTCGCGCGCGTAGCGTGTTAGCTCGCTGCGCTACGGTTGCCCATTTTAGGCTATGGGCGAGGAGATAAGTATTCAGGGGGTTTTTTAAACCTGGTAACTCTGAGCTTGGGTGGTAAGGTGTGTCGTCAAGAAGTATTGAGGAGTTTTCGGGCAAAATAATTTTCTTCATTCCTTTTTGGTATAAATATTTTCAATATTTACACTCACATGTTTTTTTGTTGAGTAAGTAGTTTAGAGGGGATTCGACTGGGTGTAGATGATAGTATGATGTAAATGATGGACACCAAAACATATATGGATAGTGTTCAAAAAGTACTATTTATAGTTCTTTTGGAATCAAAAATTAGGGAGAAAATTTCATCACCATTCCATAGCAAAATATTGTATACAGGAAATTATTTGGTATGAAACAAGAATCATCTAATCATTTACTGTTTCCTTCAGAATCATATACCGAGGAACTATGATGTTAAATAGCAACAAATCATTTGATTATAGATTATTAGAGACAAATTTTTATAGTATAGATTTCTATAATGCAGAAACACTTTTACTGCATTTATGTTATAAAATTATTTTGTTTTCTCGATATTTTCTGTCAAAGCATCCTTTTTTTGCTTTTGCTCTTCCAATTGCTTCCTGTGATTTCTATATGAGCATGCCTGAAGATGCCAAATAAATTTGTTATCTTGAGTTCTTGCAAGTAGAAAAAAGTGGGTGTGAAATTGGAAAAGACTAGGCCTGAACAGATCGTGCAATCAATATAAAAATACAGAAGCGGATTATCTAACATTTCTCGTGTTACACAGACTGAAGTAAGTTCTTCCGGTGTAAGTAATTTGTTCTTGTTTACGTCTCGTTTTTCGAGATCTTTTTGTGACTGATAATGTTGAATAGCTTCATTCATCTAGAGATGTGATATCCCATCAAGGGTCCCGATTCTAACGATGGAAAAGTTTTTTCACTTCTTGACCTGCATAATTTAAGAATGCTCGAGATTTACCTCTACAACCGTTTCCACCGAGCTCGATGCAAATGCACTGATGGTCGCCGTTTCGTCATCGCTGTTTTCAAATTCCTGACCAACATTCTGAAGAATCGCTTTCATCACAATAAATTAAATTGTACGAGAAAATCAGAAAGGCTGTAGCTGATGCAAACAGTATAAAGGAAATTTCAATTTAGTTGCATAAATGGAAAATAATCACCACTTACGATGGCACTCATTTGCTTAGTTTTTGAATTTGCTTCCATTTCATCAGAAATTCCTGGGCTCGAGTCATAACATACTTCCATCGAGGAAATATTTTATTGAAGAAACAGATGTTCACAATGGAA